TCAGGGTGGTCTCTTGAGGTTGTGACCCATTTGTCTCCATTCCCTTTCCGGGGAAGCATCTGGGTGATGATTTTATTTTCAGCTGGGGTGAGCAGGTCATTGCTGCCTCGCCCTGCGTTCCCTGGAGGAAGAGCTGGGTGAAGCTGGTGGCACCTGATACCACCCATGGGGCAGGAGCAGGACTAGCAGGGTGCCAGGGCTGGGAGAGTGACCACAGGGACCCTTTGTGGTGGCTGACAGAGTCATCAGGCTCAGTGGGCATGGTGGTGCCGACCCTGAGAGCTGTTGGCTGGGGGAGAAGCACTGAAACCCAGGGCATGGGGCATGGCAGGAGCAGCCACCGGAGTGAATGGGGGCCTGTGTTTTTCGTGGACTGTGCGGCTTGTCCTCTGCTGACACGAGACCACTTCCCTGTTCTGCTGCACCACCGAGGTATCCAAACTGCAGCCAGTGAAAGACTCCATGTTGCAGACTAGTGTGTGCTGGAGCCATTTGCCTGGGGGAGAGTACATACAGCCTGGGGCTGAGCTTCCATTTCAGCTGTACAACCTGCCACTTGTGTCGGTGTGCTTATTTCTGGCTGAAATGTTACAGTCAGAGCCTGGAAGTCGGTCAAGTGTGAAGTCATTGCCATCCCAGAAATACAATATGAAAAGCTTTGCTCAAATTCAGCTCTGGCAGGGTTGGGAATAACACCAGGTCCTTGAGAAGGTAAATTAAAGTCTTTCTGTTCATCTTGTAGTGTCTCATAGAGTGCATCTACCCAGTTTGTCATTGACTCACCCTGTTTACTGACTTGTGCTTCCTCTTGAAGGCAAGAAAACCATTTTGCCTGTCTGCAGTATTTTCTTTATGTCTGGCAAATAGTTTGCAACTCATTAACGAACTATGAATAAAGTTCTGTACCAGAGAGGATAAACATCTCTGGACTGAAAGGATAAAAGCTTTGTAGTGGGGATATAAATACGATGGATTCGAATTCTGGTGGTGATTTGAGCAGATGAGTCCAGACAGACCGTTTGTTTTTTTTTGGGGGGGGGAAAGGATGCTTTGTGAAATGTTTTCTGCTGTGTTTCTAAATTTAGAAGATCAAGAAACAAAAGCTAAATAGGCTCTGTGCTTAAAATTAGTTATGTATCAGCTGTGTATGGTGTGCAGCAGAACTGAAATGTATGTATGGGTGGCTTGGGTTTGTGGTTGTAAAAGATGTGTGGCTTGATCTGAGGGTTGAATGAGACATCATGAAGATGCTGGGAGGACGAGGTAAGACAGAAGTGACCTGAGTTTGATGAGGAGGTGATAGGAGTGGAGGTGTGAGGACTAAAAGAAGGGGTTGGAATGGTCACTTTCTGCAGCTATGGGGTAGGCAGGACAGGGGAGAGCTCTCCAATGCATGGAGGAGGGTGCTGTTGTGGAACCAGATTGAAAGGCAAAGGTGATTGTTCCTGAGAGATGTGAAAGAAGTTATTAGGGCAGCAGCATGTGGTGTGCATTTTGGGGGTGTTGCCATGAGATGATGAGTCTTACGTGTGAAATCGTGACATGAGTGTGAAGGTTCACAGAGCTTAGCAGAGAAAGCTGGTCACCCACTTACAAGGAGAGTGGAATGTGGGGCAGTATCAGGGGGCAGCAATCTGCAGGGGAGATCAGGTGTGCAGTGTATGTCAAAAGAAGGCAACGGAAGGTCTTTGGTTCAAGAATGGTCACTGTGAAAGATGATGGTAGTACTGCACAGATTAACCAGCATGCAGGGCACAGAGGTGTTTTTTTTTTAATAAGGGGGTTGTAGCAAGGACCAAAACTGTAGCTGGGTATCAAGGGACTTCCAGAGATGCAGTAGATTGGTCAGCCATCTGCATGAAGCAAGGATGGAGATATCCATGTTGGATGTGGTGGCAATGGTGGCAAGAGAGAAGAAACAGAAGGAGGGTTCCAGAATGCAAGAGGAGCTGGGTAACTCTAGAAAGGAGACATTCTGGAGCCTTTTGCTGTAGTTCTTTGGCTCCACTCCAGCTTTTGGTCAGAAATGTTTGAATGCCCTTCTCTGCGGGCAAGCCACAGTAACCAGTTCTTGTAACACATGCCCACATCCTGCTGGGTAGGATGTTTTATCAGTGGGGTCAGGGTAGCCATGAGAACAGGTACTGATCTCTTCACTTCCTCATAGTAGTGTTTTAAGCTGAGCTCGGAAGCAGAGGTTGAAGTAGGCTGTGTGTATCAGAAGCTTTTCAAGGTGATCATCTGTTTTGTGGATATACACAATTGTGAAGGTGTGCTGCAGTATTTTTGGAGTGCAGCCACTGATTTTGTGAGGACCAGCCAGTGTTCAGCTGCTCTCCCTTTTCATCAGATCCATGTGCTGCAGCTTCCCTTCCCTGACTTCTGTTTTCTCCAGCATGGCTGCTGTCAGGGAGCAGCAAGAGCAGGGCTGCTTCTACAAGGAGGAGAAGCTAGGAGCCAAAGGTGATGACAGCCCCCAGCAGTGCTGGGCACAGTCCCACCATATCTGAACAGGGCAGGCAAAACAAGGTGGTGATAGCAGGGATCCATCAACAGTCCCAGGGAAGATGGGGTGGTTATTTGGGTCCAGGGTCTAGCCAGCAAGTTCATCAGTAGGATATGGTGCCAGAGGTAGGACTGAAGACAAGCTGCCTTCAGTGTATGTCCAAGGTTTGTCCAGGAGATACAACTGAGGACAGATGCACCTACACTATGGCTCAGATGAGGCAGTGTGCCTGAACCTGAGCTTAAGTGGAACTCCTGAACTGTGGGCAGAGGGTGCATGAGTGGAGGTCTAAGGTGAGGCTGTTTGCAGCATTTAAAGCTTGTTAGTGCACTCAGAGCCCAAACAGCTAGAAATTCCTCCTTCCTCCCTGTGCTTTCCCCCATCAATCTTTGTTAGGGCCCTCTTGCATTTTTAACCCTTGTCTGTGATAGCCCTCACTCACAGTTCTTCCCTACTGTGCTCTGGGGTTGCTCTGTCCTCTTTTCTGGCTTTCACTGCTGTCTGAATGGAAATGGTTCCTACTGCTTCTCTTCACCTTGACTGTTCCCTCTTCTTCTGTTGCAGAATTTAATGCAAGGAGAAATGTAAAATAAATGGACTCTGTCTCTTTTTCTATTCCTCAAGCCTGTCTGCTTGTAGTGTTAGTGATCACATTAACCTCACAGTCTCCTTGTTAAATTTCCTTCTTTCTTCCTGATTGCTCATTATCCAGGTTATTGATAAATCATTCCAGGCCTTCTGTTGGTGTGATATTGAAGTCTACCTGCTCTTCTCCATTGCTTCTGTTAAAAGCCTTTATAAGAGATGCTGATCATCACTCACCTTGTCAGCTTTCCCTTTCGTGCTGCGCTGCTCATCCTGTTGCAAATGCAGCTGCTTAAAATCTTCTACCTGCTGCTTGGACCAGATTGCTCTCAGGTCTGATGACTTAAAAACTGCACAATGTTATTACTTTCAAGCTCTTACTGCCTTTTGCTACCACTTCTTCCGGGTCTTTCTCTTGATTCTGCCTTTCCCCAGCTGTCATTCTTGGTAAAGGACAGGTGTTAATTCTTCTGTATTTTGTGTGGCACAGAGCACAGTCACTAAGGGCTTGCAGTGTTGTCAGGATTGATTTTCACGAAGGTCCCTTCCCCCAGTGCCAGGCTGAACATGCCATAGATACTGTGAGATGGCTTGGAATGGTAGGGATGATTTTAATTTAAAACAGAGCTGGCAGTAATGCTCTCCAAGCTGTTGTAATGTAGAGTTAGAGAAATTACTTTTGATATTGTCATTATCACTTCAGAGGTGGTCTCAGGCTGGGAAGGCACAGTGTCTTCAGCTCCATTTCATCTCTGTGTTTTTGTACTTGCTGCTTTTGTCCTCAAGTTACTGTACCTCAAACACTGAGCATTGTTTGTGATCACAGCTGCTTGATGGCAAGACTGGGAAATATGCCGTCTCCAGCAACTTTCATTTGCTGCAAAGTACCATCCCTTCCTCCCTATTTTATTCTTTTCTTCTGTGGCAGACCTGTGTACCTTGGGGAGAGGTCAGGGAGTGGCCATTCCAAGACTTGCTCCCAAAACACAGAGAATGAAGCTCATGTATCTTATGGTGTGATTTAAACCCATTTTAATTGAGGAAAGGAACATCACTACAAAATGGCTCCATTGTACTCCTTACCTGTCTGCACTCATAGAGACCCAGACTGGATATCAAACCTAGACAAGTTACTGTGCCCATTTGTGTCCCTTACTAGGTGGGGATAACTCTTTGGAGTCTTCCTCAGGCCCTGCCCACCCCAGTTTAAAATGGTGGGGGGCCCTGCACCCTCTCTGAAGGGATGTTCCCAAATCTACGCTGCTCTTGCCGACTGATTTTCAGCACAAAATTCCCATTGCTTAGATTGATTACTGTTCTTTTATGTGGACCACAGCAAGCAATTTGATCTCCTTCCTTAGTGTCTCTCTCTGTGATATGCCTCCAGACACCTTAGATAGATTCCTTATTTCATATTGTTGTGCGGTAAACCAGTTTAAATCTGTCCCAGATGAAGAGTGGTCAGAATTGCTAGTAGTCAGAGTTGCTTATCACAAATTCCTGAAATGACTGACAGTGCAGGGGAAGTGTTGACTTTCTTTTTTTTATTATTATTTTTTTTTATTTTTTTCCTTTCCTAGAAGGCAGTCATAATTACAGTTGGTTCCCATTGCTTTATTTACTGGCAGGCTAAGGTAGAGAGCTCAAATTGAAGTAATTCTTCTTAGCCCATGTATCCTGGCTGTGGCGTGTGAGAAAAACCAGATACTAGGTAGTGAGCTGCTTGCCATCCTCTGTCTGCTGTGTGGATAAATCATGGACTTCGGTGTCCAGGGCGTCTGGTCTGGAACATTTTGTTAGTAGTAAATTCAAGCACACACAGAATACTGTGCTGCTTAATTGCCAGCAAGACCTGTCATGACTTATTTTGTTGTGTTTTGTTTTTTCTTCTTCCTCTACAGTGACTATAATGGAGAGACAGAAGAGAAAACAAGAAATAGAGAAAGGACTTCAGTTCATTCAGTAAGTGAACAACCTCATTGCTTCCTGTGATTTCGGAGACAAATGTCTGCCTATCAAGGATTGCAGGAATCAAGTTCTTCCTGTTCACCACTTTGGGGCTTCTGCATGGGAAAAAGATACTGGTCCCAAGGGTTTTCACTGTGATTCTTCAGTGTGCTTCTTGTCCTGCCATCTCTCTGCATTTGAAATTGTGTAATTTTAACTCCCTTGGGTTTTTCCCTCTGCTGCAGTTCCCGGATGATCTTTATAGTCTCAAGGTGCTCTCAACAATGTTAACCCTTCTTTCTTAGGAAGGGAGGTAGTGTTTCTGTTTTGTATGGGGGGGAAGCAGGGTAAATGACTTGCCAGGTGCCCCATATATGCCTATAGCAGGAATAGATTACCTGTCTCTTTTACAGTTCTCTACCTGGTAGGTGCCTCAGGTCACTCTTCTTTGAATATCATGTGACCTTGTAGAGCTTGATATGGTTGCTGACATAGTAGCTACAAGTCTAAGTGTTTCCTAATAAAAATACAGTAGTGTTTTTTCCCTCCCGTGTTTGAATTAGCAAAGACCTCAGACTCGGCTTCCAGGGTGAGTAAGGAAGCAGCAAGATTGCAATCAGATGGGTTTGAGTTTGTTTTAAGTTCTGCTTTGAGTCCTTCAGTTATAATCGCTGAAATTTTGTGTATCTACAACAGGAAAGAAACAAAAAGCCAAATTTTCCATGTTACATATTTATGTCCTGTGGCATGACAATTATATTTTTGCCCCAAATTGAGACTAAATGGGGCTGACAATCCAGTTTCAAAGAGGCAATTTTGGGGTTTATTTATAATAAAGAATTTAGAAATACAGGGTGGTGATCATGCTTCTGGAGCATGTCTCAAAATCTGAACTGGGGGCAGTGTAATTTGTTGGCTTATTTTGATGTGAAAGAAGGGTAGTCCAATTTTATGAGTAGCATTAATGTTTCTTGCAAAGCCGAGGCATTTCCCGTAGTTAATTTTAAGGAGCAGATGATTATTAGATTAGGTGAAATCTAAAAGAAGTTTACTGTCTGTCCAATAAGGTAATGTATATGATGTTGTATTTCAAAGGTACAGGGGGGCCATGAGAGGTGCTAAGGATTTATCTAGAGCCTGTTGTTTTCTCCTTTAAGAGAAAAATTGAATACAAGTGGTCCAAATCTGGATGACCTGGGTGGTCTGATTTGAAGAAGAGAACCTTTCATCTAGGTCTCCATGCTGGTGTGGGGTAGATACTATCCACACAAGCACTGCCAGTTTTGCCAGCGTTGGCAGCGTTGGCTAAGACAACTTGAGTTAAATGGCCTCCCAAACTTGCATTTTCCCCTTTGCTTTTGTGGTGTAGGCCTGAAGGCTTGTGGCTGTGTCAGTGCAGGGGAAAGTGATTACATTTATCACTGTATGTCTTTGGCTGCAGAGGGTTTGTGGAGGTCTTGGAGGGCCAGTCTGGTGCCTCTCATTAGAGCCAGATGCACTTAAAATACACTTGTGCTCTCCATGACCATTTCTCATGGGACTTTCTCAGAGGTGTGTTTTTTTTTTTTTAGGTGACTGGCTGAAGGCATGTTGCAGAGGATCATGTATGTGCAGATAATAGCTGAGAATAAGATTCCTCTAGTCTCAAATCCCTTTGGGACCTGACCTTGTCACCACTGTGGCCATCACTGAGCACAGTAATTGTGTTCTCTTTGTCCCATCTGCCTTCTAAAGTGATAAACTGTTCAGCAACTCATGGAGATAGTCAACATAGGACCAGAAAGATGGTTTCTTCATCAGACAAAAGCCTGTTTTCATGAGAATTTTCTCTTTTCTTTTTCAGGTCCACATTGCCCCTAAGCCAAGAAGATTATGAGGTAATGAAAAACTTGTTTTTTAAAGTTGGGAACCTTTGTTTAGCAAGATTTGTTCTGTTGTACATTCATTAGTTAACATACCAAAAGTGGGGAGTGTGGGATGGTCTGTCACAATTTGTCTGTAACTTAAAGCTGTAAGGTTCTGACAACAACAACTGTCAGGAAAAGGAGAAAACACATGAGTGTTCAAGAAGGAAATGAATTTGACTGGATTATTCTCCTCTACCAAAAGACTGATGTTTTACAGACGGGTGGGGAGGCAGGAGGATCTTAGTGGGCAGGAAGCTTGCTAAAACATATGGAAAGGAATGGGAAATTGGAAAATCTCTCCTGTCTCTGAATATCCACTTCAGTCTGTTTGCTCTCTCCCTGCTGCCCAGGCCTTTTTGCAGAAGCTGGTGAGAAACCTGTTTGCAGAGGGCAATGATCTGTTTCGAGAGAAGGATTTCAAGCTTTCGCTGGTGCAGTATGTAGAGGGGCTGAATGTGGCAGATTATGCAGCTTCTGATGATGTGACCATCCCAAAGGAACTCCTGTGCAAGCTGCATGTCAACCGAGCTGCCTGCTACTTTGCCATGGTGAGCACCTTCCAAAGTCATCCCCAGGGGTCAGGGAGGACATAATGGTTGCAGTGCCATCCAGTTGGAAAATATGTCAAGACGAGTTTAATTTGATTTTATCCCTGCTCTTCTCCAACACTGGAGGAGATGTTGACACAGGAAACTGCTATCTCCCCACTATTGCACTGTGTCTTACAAGACCAGAGGAAAGATGTGAAGGAGAAGGGGCCAGACTTAAGGTACTGAGAATGCAGTTCTGGTCCATCTTGGTGAGGAGTTAGTAAGTTAGTAAAATTTGGAGATTGTAAAGAGCTAGTGCCTTCTGTTATTAAATGAGTATTTTTCTGGAATACTCTTTGAGTATTGCTCTGTATGCTTCTGCCTCCTTGATTGAGGCACTAGAAGACAGTGAGAAAGCTTTGGGTCTTGACGGATCTTTCAGTCCACACACATGGAAAAAGAATCTGCAGTACTTAAGCTCTAAAAGGCTGCATGCTTCCATTTTCCTAAGGAATCCAGCAGTTTTCCTTTATGGCACAACCCCTGAGCCGGTCCATCCTGTTTGTAATGAGGCTGAGTCCCATGAAAAAAATGAGCAAGCAGTCACGTAATTAAAGACTGTCAAGTATCACAGGCCCAAAGTAGAGGGGGAGACAAGATAAGGTTGCTCAAGCAGCCTTACTTCTGGTATTCACTGACTTTGAAGTGTGTTGAGTTTTGCAAGACTTAACAAAATGTTCTATGACTGTAGGTTTTGTTTGTCTGTACACTGGTCTCTGTAGGAGGGAGTATATAGATGTATTTCCAACTGCTTTCTGTATCCCTGTTTTCAACTGAGAAATACATTTGCATTCATTCAGAATTAAGGGTTCATCTGCTGTGCCTCAGCTAACTCAAGGTGGTCTCTTCTATACAGGGGTTGTTTGAGAAGGCACTGGAAGACAGCGAGAAGGCTTTAAGTCTTGATGAGGAAAACATCCGAGCACTCTTCCGGAAAGCCCGCTGCTTAAATGAACTTGGAAGACACAAAGAAGCATATGAGTGCAACAGCCGATGTTTGCTGTCCCTCCCACACGTAAGTCTCTGACATGCAACTCCTCTTGATTTCTGTGGCCTACCACCTTCCTGCTTAGTGTCAAGCCAGAGGATAGTGGAATAGTGGATAGTGTTCCTGGGAATATGCTTATGCCAAGTAATTCTGTCTCTCTGGTTTGAAGATGGATGTTTGACTCCACATATTTCTTCAGTCCAAGTTACCCTCTATGGACAGTGCCAGCCATAGACACTGGTTAGTGAAAGCAGGTTTGGTGACCTATTTGTGAAGAGCAAAACCCTACCCTAACGAAATATGAACTAAGGCCGTGAGATTGTTTTAATTAGCTGGTTTTATATGTCTAATGGGAGTAACTAGGAACATGGGACATATAGGAACTGGAGCACTGGAAGGAAAACATGTACTTTTCCTGGATTAGATTAAAATGTCTCATGTTTTACTTACTGATAGCTTAGGCAAGCTGATAAAGCTTTTTATTTCTTGTCAGACATGCAAAGGTGTCCTTGACACCCCATGTCATAGTTATTTTTAAGTTCACAGGTGTGTAAATTTTTGCATTCAGAGGTGACTGTCTGCATATGCTAGGCTCTCGGTATTTTCCTGACAGTGCTTTCGTTCAGTATCCCTTTAGGCCAAATTATAGACAGGAAAACAGACTGTGATTAGATAGATCCTAGTGAGCACTGGTTGTCTTTGCTAAGTATGGCTCTGATCTGTCACACTAATGCTATTACATGAAAAATGCACC